TCCACAACTTCTCTGGGCAACCTGGTCCAGTGCCTCACCACCCTCTGAGTGAAAAATTTTGTCCTTATATCTAATCTAAATCTACCCTCTTTCAGTTAAAAGCCATTTCCCCTTGTCCTATCACTACATGCCCTTGTAAAAAGTCCCTCTCCAGCTTTCCTGTAGGTCCCCTTTAAGTACTGGAAGGCTGCAATAAGATCACCCCGGAGCCTTCTCTTCTCCAGGCTGAACAGTCCCAACTCTCACAGCCTGTCATACTTTACCACCTGTTTATGGTGGTAAAGTATGAATAGAGTTTACAAGGCAGAACACTGCAGTTCATAGCATTAATATTTCATGAGTTATCACTTCTCCTGGTTTTGTTCAAGTTGTGAAAAAGCAGCCCCCTGTATTGTATTCCTTTTGCTTAATTGCTAACAGTTTCCCTGGAGAGTGTCGGTGACATTTACCTAATCTCTCTAACATACTTTCACCACAAGCACTTCTGCTTGCTTTCAGAAATGGAAGAACTACAAAACCATCACATTAGAGACTGTAAGAGGAAGAAATCAATGGAAATCCAGCCTTTTAGTCCTTGCTGCTGTGATCATTAATTACTTTTCCTTATACTGGGAGAAAAAAAAATAGTTCTCAAATTAATTTCAGTAGCGAATGCTAAACAGGCATTAAGAAATGCACTTACTTCTCTCTGTTGAATATGATGAATTCTTTCCTAACAGTTTCCAAGCACTGCTGCAGGTGTACGTTCTTTAAAAAACAGCATGAACAGGTTGATTAAAAAAAGACGGAAAATTATAGACAAAAATCACAACAACAGAAACAATACTGAACCAAAAGGCTTATGAATGAGCACTATCAAAATGCATTTTGAACACTCTTCAAAAGTGGGCTGTGATAGCACGATCAATCTTTCTTTTGGAAGATAATCCCACAAAGAATTCCTGAGGATTTTTACTTCTGATAGCTCTAAGAAGAAAAGTTTGCATAAGCATTCAAAATCATTAGGAGCAACAGAGTTTATAAAACCTCACTGAAATGAAATTTCAAGCCTTGAAAATGGTTATTTCTTTATCTTCTCGGAAGCTCAAACTGTTTATACGATGGCTTTTTCTATGTGGGACACATTACTCAAGACAGCAAGAGACAGCTTTAAAACATTTATAAATAACGAGCTTTTCATTGCATACTTTTCATTTTTTGGTACTAGCAGTTGATAATCTTCGTAACTGTCTGTCCATGTGTGGGAAGTGTATTTGCCAACTGACAACACTTTTTTGTGCTTTAAATGAACATCTTTGAGAATCTTAAAAATTATTACAACTTAAACATGCTGTTACTATTTGACTGAAACAAATGGTTGCTTAGCATCTTGCTTTGGAGATGGTTTATGCTATATGTAAAATGACAGACATAGAGGTTGAATCTATTTTCAGAGATGGTAAAACTGAGCTTAACTGAGGTTGTCTATTAAAGAGTGTAAATGAAATGCCACTGACTATAGCCACCGTTCCCAACTTACCAGTGGGCAGGTTTCCTTAGTTCCATCTTTGGATTTGTTTTTGGCAAGTCGCTTTTTCTTTTTGTGGAGAGGCTTAGACTCCAAAATCATTTCTTCAAGTTCAAATGTAGGATCACAGTTCAGTCTTCCTTTCTGGTACAAAAGGATTCAAAGTTACTCTTTGAAGCATCACTCTGGTTTTTTAGTTTGCCTGGCAAGTGTTAACAGCATTAACATCCAGCTTCCCAAACACATCTGTCTTTTTAGGTTTGAAATGATGATGGAAGTTTAAATAAGAGAGGTAAAATAAAAAGCATAAAGCAATTATAAAAATCTAGATACTCTTCCTAGTTTTATACAGATGTACTCCTAGAGTAACTACAACTATGTCACCCCAATGAAAGAGCTAAATCTGGCCCAGGGTCTTCATCAGAATACCAATTAGTGCTGTAGAACATAAATAGCAACTGTAATAGTGCAGGACAGACGAGGAGCACGTCTAAGACCTTCTTAAAATCTGATTTTCTGAAAAGTTGCCAGCAGATTCAGTTACTTAGATCCTGTCCATTACAGCAAAGGAAGGAGCAGGCCTTTTTTGGTTAGCAGTGTTAATGTCAAAAAATGGATCTATTATGCTTTTTCTTACCTATTACTTACATTACTTAAATATTCTGGATTCTCTATTTTTATGCTAATTTGTGATGCTTGAACCAAATCTTAAGATTCTTTGTTGTATCAGGAAGTCTTTTTCTAAGTAGGATGATTGGAAACACTATTTCTATATGGTCATTTCCTTCCTTGACTCTTTTCAGGTTCTTGATTCTTTCAGATCTTTTCAGCATAAAAGTTTACAGGAGTGTAGTTTATGCCTTGAGTTGTTTTGTGTGTTTTTTTTTTTTAATTCTATGCATTAGTGCAGTAAAGCCACCTCACGACAACATTTGGGATGAACTGTTCCTCTTCTATTTAAGGATAAGGGCTAGGGTATGGCCAGAAAATCTATAGTTGAGCTGAACCCAATACATTTTTTAAAAGTGACTACTTGACATTCTGATTACTGGATCAATGCTTTGCTACTCCTGCAATCAGAATAACATGAGTTTCTTTCTCCCTCTCATTTTCTCCAAGCATTTAAAAAAAAATTGCAAACAATTTCAACCGTATGGTGGAAATTCTTAAAAGAACTTTGTTTTCCTCTGGGGCTTCTGAGAGTTCAATCACACCATTGTCACATCAAGGTGGAAGTACTAACATAAGTCATATATAAATGGCAGATATTATTTAGTAACCAAAGACACTAACCAGTAAAATCACATCAGAAACCACTTGTCTAACTTGCGGTGTCCTAGAGTGAAACATTTGATTTAGAAATCACTCTATCATTTTTATTCCTAGAAAAGTTTGTATACTCTAAGTATAATATTAAGCTCTCTGATGGCTTGTCCTGCATGTTATCCAGTCAGAGTTAGTAAATAATTATTTTTTTTATTAATGGAGGTTTGTATCTTTTTTTATTTATTTAAAAATAAATATTTACGTTTGATCAATATTGGTTCCTTTCTTGGCATGTACAGATTTGTTTGAGCATTCAAAAATACATCGCTTTAATTTTGAAGCTTCAAAAATGAAAGCAAATTACATTTAAATAATTTGTTGCTTCCTTTATAAAATATTTAACAATACAAAAAAACTACTAACAATTTATGACTCCAAGCTGAATGTAAAGAACCTAGCTAAACCATAAAGAATCACATGTACTAGTTAAGCAAAAATTATGTTTATGGAATCAAACTACATGGGGAGAAATTTAACATGGGACCTTCCTACCACAGACCTCCCCTGTGCCCTCTTGGCTGCAGAAGGCAGGCAAGCTCCTGACAGTAACGGCAAGCTATCGAAAACTTATACAATTCTGTAGTTACAGAACTCTCCCCAGATCACAGTGTAAGTTGACCTCAATTCCCTCTCACACCCAAAGCCTGAAATCCAAGAAATATTTTGTTGTGTGGCCCGAGGTAATCAGTGAAGGTTTTACTGGGGCAACAATGAAAAGTTCTTGGAAAATACCTGGCCAAACTTGGTTTCCTGAAATTGCAAAGTTTACTACATATAGCAATGTTGTGCTAGGAACCATGTTTTGCCTCTCACCTTCTCACTGTTTTTCCTACCACATCTGATTGGCCAGATGGAACAAGCCCCACAATATCAGTCTCTGTCATGAAGTGTCTGGTAGAGCTTGTAATGGGACTTTCAGATTCGTCTGAGTAGAGAAAGGTAAACTTTTACTTCTATTTCCTTCTAAATATAGAATATTTTTTTTCCAGCAACAAGTGGGAACCAGCCATAATCTTTGAGTTTCTGGATTATTTTGGCTGTTAGCTTTTACTGGCATTATGGTTTTCCTTCTTGTAATTCTTCTTCAGTTGCAACACAAGGAAAACGAAAATGTCAAGATATCTTAGGATTTGAATCCTTTTCTCTCTGTGTGTCTTTAACATCACAATTTTCTTTGAGCAAATTAACTCCCTTAAGTCTTATTTCTGTAATGTCTTCTAAAAATAGATTCCTTCCAGAATACGAATGAAGTGAGTCTAAATGTGATAAGCACAGCTGTCTTTGGACACATGTCTATTGGCAGATAGTTCAAAGTATTACAGGAGAACTTCCTCTTTTCACAGTTTCCATCCTGTTCACCACTGTTAACATCAGCCACAATGGTCACTTGGCTAATAGAGCAGTATCAGAGACAGAGGTATCACAATTGCTTTTCAGTAGCAGATTTTCTTGAACCAAGTTGAAGTCCCCTTTCTTGACTTTAAGCCCTAAGACATGTACTTATGTACAATTGGGCTTTGAAGAATCTGGGACTCTCCTGGATCCCTGTGTGTGATGTACTTTTGGGTATGGGGAACTGGATCTCTTTTTCAAAATACAAAGTAGGGTTGTGACATTTCTTGCACCCTGACAGTTGTGAATTAAACTTTCAGGTAGGAGCTGGAGGTCTAAATAATCTGTTGAGTTTTGTCTGAGAAGGAGTCAATCCCCGCCTCTGATATCTCAGAGGGCAGTTATAACATGAAAAAAAAAAAGTAATAGCAGTCTTCATTCTTCTTGTAGATCCATGCCACCATGGAGAATGGGGTTTACGGTCCACCAGGCTGTGGAGGAACTCCCTTCTGCTGTGCTTTGCTTAGGGTGGCAACCTGAAAGAGTGAATGACAGAGCAGCTATTCCAGCTGCAGGCACATTGAGTAAGAGGGAAGGAGTCCTGGCCTTGATTTGACAGATATAACATTCACCTCCCAAGCTTTTACCTTGCACCACCATTAAGTTAAAATGCGAAAAGAAGGAATGTCACTCCTGGTGAACTCCTGTCTTTCTCATCACCTGTTGTGCTAGTTACCTCCTGTATACCTTCCTTTCCCCAAGGAAAGCCCTTCCTGCCCATTCACAGCTTTCTTTTCCTGCAGGATGTAGCTTCCAGGAAAGGGTCTGGTCAGATGTCAAGAAGCACAGCAAACACTGCCAGTGTTGTCTTGACAACCCACCTGGCTGCTTTTGCTCCATCAGGCAATATCCTCTCTCCCTCAGCTTCTGCAGGTCTGTCCCCATCAGATCTAGCAAGATGTCTAATGTGCACCTGGATGAGGATAGGGTCTGCTATTTCTCCTTTCTCATCTGTATTCACAGTTGTATTAAAATATATAAACAATCCTTAGTATGCTACAAATGTATTGTTTAACGCAACGTGACTGAATGTGCTGGTTTGGGCTGGGATGGAGTTATTCAGTAGCTAGGATGGGGCTGTGTTTTGGATTTGTGCTGGAAACAGTGTTGATAGCACAGGGATGTTTTTGTTACTGCTGAGCAGTGCTCCCACAGAGCCAGGGCCTTGTCTGCTTCTCACCCCACCCTATCAGTGAGGAGGCTGGGGGGGGGGATCATGAGTAGTTGGGAGGGGACACTGGGGACAGCTGACCCCAACTGACCAAAGGGACATTCCAAACCATATGACCTCACGCTCAGCATATAAAGCTGGGGTAAGAAGAAGGATGGAGGCGACATTCGGAGTGATGGCATTTGTCTTCCCAAGTCACCATTACATGTGATGGAGCCCTGCTGTCCTGGAGATGGCTGAACACCTGCCTGCCCATGGGAAGTAGTGAATGAATTCCTTGTTTTGCTTTGCTTGTGTGTGTGGCTTTTGCTTTACCTATTAAACTGCCTTTGTCTCAGCCCATGAGTTTTCTCACTTTTACCTTTCCAATTCTCTCTCCCATCCCATGGGGGGAGCATAAGTGAGGGGCTGGGTGGGGCTGAGTTGCCAGATGGGGTTAAACCACAACACTGAACAAAGTGGAGGAACATGATGCCACAACAGTCATTGCTCTTTATGCACGGCCCTCTAATCCATTCAATTTATAAATGATCAAAACAGAAATATCCTGAAAACACCCACAAAATGGAACCACAGAAAAAAAAGAAACCACCAGATTCCCTCACAGAATCTGAATGTTTTAGTGTACGAAACTGTCATAAAGGAAATAGGTCAGTCTTTTGAAAGAGTATTTCAAAAGTGAAAAAGGAACAGCACACTGGGATGTTAGAAATTCTTGTGAATGTTGTTCAGATGCCTAACTTTCTGAGCAGCAATAATCTTCTCAGTATTCTTTGGCTCAGAGTTAACTGTGACAATCATTTGCTCTAACAGCTGAAATGCAAAGTCTAGAAAATGTTGGGGTTTTTTTTATTTGAAAGACAACAAAAAGTGAACCAAAGTTAATTAGGTTTTGTTGTGATCTAACAAAATGGGCCAAATTTTCTCTTAGCTACGACCGCGTAAATGAAAGCAGAATCCAACGTAAGACATCTGTGAGAAGTAAATCACTGACAAGCACTAAATGCAAGTGTAAACAAGTAAAACAGCAATGATAATTAAAGTCAGAATTTGAAAACACATTTCACCTGGAATATCGACTTACGTTAGGAACAAAGCCTGGGGTCACAGCTTTCTCTAGAACAGCATCCCAGTTGACATCAGCTAGGTATGGGGAGCTTTGGATGTCTGCAAGACTTGAAAGTCGGCACTCTGGGTCCTTTGTGAGCAGCTGTGATGAAGCAAAAGGCATTTTCTAAGGGATTGGGTGCCATCTAAAAGAGTAAATGTATCCTACACATTAATTGTATGATACACAATTTAGAGTAAGAAAATGGCTAGAGAATCCTCTAACAACTCCTAGAAGTCCCAAGCTAACAAAATAAAAGTAATAACTCATAGGATATGAATCTAGTTTAATTGCCACCAGATGGCTGTTGCAGGCATGAAGTATATTAGTATGTGTATTAGTAACGAAAGTCTGTTTACAAATACACAAGAGTCCAAATGACATGAAACATCACAGTTCAATGCCACCCAACAATTTGCATTTCATCTTTAATTTATTGGAAGATATAGTTACACTGAGCATCCTGGCAGCAATTAAAATTAACCACCTCATTGCTCCATCTATCAAAAATAGGTTGCGCATTGCTGCAAAGGAAATTGATCTTCTATTGCTCTATTCACACATTCACAAACATTTCCTGCTCAAATATCAGTCCTGCTGATCTGAAATACCTAAAAGAGACAGATGATCTTTGCAGCATGGCCAGAAAATTAAACCAAGCAAACAACTGGGATTTTAGGAAGAAGGCGAGTTCAAGGGCCGTGATGCATTCAGAAAGAGCGCTGTCTTGTAGCTTACTGACATTTACAGCAAAGTGGCTTGACTTTTGTTATTGCAACTATAGCAACATGGGACTGGGAGATACAGCCCTTTTCATTTCCAAGCATCCTGGCTGGAAACTGTGGCAGAAATTCAGAGGGCAGAGTGGTCCTTCCTTCCCTTTCCAGCATGTACCACCAGGATTGGAGAGAATGGGGCCAGGGCATAGAGTGGGGATTATTGGTCCCCAAAGTTTTGCTATCACTAGTGAATCAGTTTTAAAGTAAAGTACTAGATTTCTATTTCTTTGAGGCCATTAAAAGCCTGAGTCTAAGCCTAAGAATAATCCAGCTTCTCAAGAGAAAATACTGCACCACTCACATTCAGAAAAGTCTAGGAATAAGCACTGCTTTCTTACCCTTGGAATTTTGGCTACCTAATGTGTGTGCTTGCCTGATGCATCTGCACTGTTGGAAGGGCTTCTGGAAGAGGAGAGAAGAGAGGACAGAAGGTGTTTGTGCTTTCTTACCTTTTTCAGTAGCGCTATCATGCCCTTGCACCATGCAGATGAGTAGTGAACTCTTTCTATCTTGAACATGTTGAGTATCTCATCAATGGGAGTGGCTGAATGAATTTCATAAGGCCTCTGTGATAAAGTTAAATCAATATCAAGTCAGCAAGAAGGGCTAAAAGAGTGCAGACAATTCACATTTTCCTGAGCTCAGTACTGTTTATACTACAAATATCTAAAACAGCAAAACATGTTATAACAATTTTGAGGCTAGTCCTTCTTTGTGTGTGTGCTTTTCTTTGGTTCTAATGAATGCAATTACTCACAGATGCTCTTCCTCTGCAAATTTTTATCTCATGAAAAGAAGCATCAGTTCAAATGAGATGGCTGAATAATTTTGTTCCTGGGGCATTCTATGTGAAATGTGGATAATTTACTATTTTTCTCCTGTAGTACTAAAATATTCTAGTGATCTAAACCGACAAAATGGAAAAGTAGCGGCTGAAGAGAACTTTGTGATCCTGAGTTTACTGAGTAGTAGACAGAGAAATTAAAAAATGCTTACAAAAATCTGTGTAAGAACCACAGTAAAAACATAGACTCCAAATCTCAATCCTTCTCCTTCGCCGTTTTTGAAATCTAAAATTAACTCATTACATGGACCTACGGATTATACAGACTTCCTGTGTCTGTAGTGCCTAAATTCTTCTGTAGGTGAGAAAGTCCCAGGCTTCACAGTGCTTCGTTCATGAAGATCACTGTGATTTATCTTTTATTACATATAGTATTTGGAAAGGAAAGTACTATATATAATTTATATTCCTATTAATTATTGTGCACATATTTTTTAAGGACTTTATGAAGCAAGTTGTTAGAATGATACCCTATGTTGATGTATTTTTTTAGACAAGAATAGAGTGTGGATTGCTTGTGAATTAAGTTGCACCCAGCAGGTGACAAATATGTGATATGTGATGTGAGATCTGCAGCCAAATGTCATCATAGCAGCAATGTGCAAATTGATGAATATAATTCATAGACAACATAGAGTTACCTTCTGAGACAATATCCTCAACAGCAAAGGGCACATGCACATTGCCTTCACTAAGAACTGAATCATCCCTTGAATTTTGCTAGTGTGTACTGGCACAAGATTATAAGAATATTTCTGGGTGTTATTTATGTAATCTAATAGTGAATTAGAGCCACTCTTCATAAAGGCCCAGAAAATATTCTTATTTTGAGAATATTCGTGCACGTTTAACTTTGAACATGTGTATGAAATGAAGTCCATTCCAAGGCACTGGGATGGTCTAAAAATAAATCCAAGGATTGCTTAAATCTTTTTGCTTTGATTCACATTCAGTTAGTCTGTTGTCATTTAGTTATATCATGTCCATATGAATTCAACAGGACTTAAATGCATGCTCTGAATATGTAATTTTCTTGAATCAGGTTCAAAATTATCATTTGAAACAGTCTGTCATATGCTTTTCTCTACCTGTGGTAATGCTGCCATGAAACAGCTATTATAAATGAAAGGTTAACGTTCTGTCTGTTGTCAAGAAGTAACCTACTGCTGATTTAGACTTGATATAATGACGTGACCAATATTATCATTGACCCAGAATTTACACCAATTGTTGGAAATAGTGATTTAGCTCTAAAAATAACAACTTTAAGGAATAATGAATTTTTGAAAGAAGTAAAAGTGAGAATAAAAATAAGGAAGTTTTCTGTCAAAGATGTTTCTGCACATGCCTTTTTCCTCACTGGAAAAATATTTAGAAAACTTACCTTATTTTAAAGTTTGTTAGCATTCTGCAGTCTTACCTGATTTTTTGAGATTTGCAAAGATTTTTAGTGTTGTTCTTTGTTAATTCGAACTATAAATACTCAAAGAAATGGCCATTATAAGTTTGGTCTTTTGAGTTCTTTCACACCTATGTGTCTCATGTTTTTCAGCTATTTAATCCACTTGAGGGTCAGATCTCTTCTGTTTTATTTTGTGAAAAAGGAAAAAAATCTGGTTTGCTTTTGCTCATGATGTTTTACCAAAATTCTTTGTAAATTGTTCACATCACAGTGAAAGTCAGAGTTCAAGAATGCCACCTACTACCTCTTCCTTTCACCTTACCTTTCTTGAGGGCACAGTATAAACAGTTATAATATTTTGGCAGTTGTCTATAGCTAAGGAACAGATTGACGTGTCGTGGTTTGTGTCATGCAGTTTAATTTCATGGACTTTGGGAAAAGATCAACATTTGGTGCAAAGCTTCAGAAATTTACTCTTTTGGTTGTTAGGTCTTTTACTAGCAATTGGCTAAGGAGAAAAACGTGCCTGCAACATATTGAGAAACGCTAGTGCTACTGTGGATAACCAAAAAATGGTCCAGACAACTCTGTACTGGATGCAACCTACTCCTGTAGCCACAGCCCTGTTTCCAGCAGAGTATTGTGTTGGCCGCCTGGCAGTAGAGAGGAAGGCAGGAGAATGGCTGCAATGCCTTGAGCACCCTGAGCCTCCTCTGAGGACTCTTTCATCTGATAACAGTAGAGGCAAATAAAAACAAAACTCCAGCTGAAAAAGAAGCAACTCATTTTTACTTAGCTCCTCTTGAATTCAGGCAGGCGGTGTCATATGCTATGCACAGCTCAGAGGCGGAAAATCATAGAATCATAGAATGGTTTGGGTTGGAAGGGACCTTAAAGATCATCTAGCTCTAACCCCCCCTGCCATGGGCAGGGACACCTTCCACTAGACCAGGCTGCTCAAAGCCTCATCCAACCTGGCCTTGAACACCTCCAGGTATGGGGCATCCACAACTCCTCTGGGCAACCTGTTCCTGTGTTTCACCACCCTCTGAGTAAAAAATTTCTTCCTTGTGTCTAATCGAAATCTACCCTCTTTCCATCTGAAGTAATTACCCCTTGTCCTATCACTACACACGCTTGTCAAAAGTCCCTCTCCAGCTTTCTTGCAGGCCCCTTTAGGTACTGGAAGGCTACTGATCACCCCAATCACCTAATGATTGAAAATTTTTAATGCTCCTCATTTCTAATGCTCCTTCCTTCCTTCCCTCCTGCCTTCCCCATGCACTAGCATGGACCATGGTCCAACTGCAGAAGGTCGTGTCTTCGGGTGGCTCTGCCCAGTGCAACACCCTCCTCTTCCCCCAGGGCTGCCGCAGCAGAGGGGTGGGCTGCGCCTAGCGCCCACCCCTCTGCTCTGTGGCCATGGGGCTCTCTTCTCACCGCTAAACGAAGTGCTGTGGAAGCGTGGAGGAGGAGGGGACTGCCTGCCTGCAGGTTTTGCTTGCAGCCTTGTAGGCGCAAGCTGCTTCTTTGCAGCCATCTGCACAGAGTTGCTGCAGCAGATGGAGCTTTGAAGCTCGCGGTTGTTGCAGACAGCAACCTGCCTTGGGTTGAGCGTGTTTCCTCAACCCATCGCTACTTCTCTCGTCATCACTCCTGTCAGTTTAGGCCTTTCCTAGACTAGAAAAATTTAGAAATACAGGTCAGGAAAAAAATACACCTTTTCCTAGTCCATACAAAGGTGAGGGCTGCCAAGTCACCCTCTGCCTTGCTGGGTGGGCAAGAGCTGCTCTTCAGGGGAAAACAAGCAGCTGGTTTGGTTGACTGGAGCATGAACAGATGGCAATGCTTTATTTAAAAAAAAAGTCGATTTAGTCTCAGCTTTGCTTTGTCTGTAGGCAGACAGACTTATTCAGAAAAGACTGTACGGATCCTGGCAAATGGATACCATTCTATATAATTTTAATTTATTAAAGTGACTAGATACATTTTGTGATTAGTCTTGGGAGTTCAGCTTTCCTTACACAATCATTGATTGTGCTGCTTTCTTGGAGACACTCGTTGTGAAAGGATTTATATAAAACCAGTAGGATGTTATTTTAATTTATTATATGTGCAGTTAGTACTACCATCTGTGACTAGGGTTGAGATTGTATTATGCTTGTCACTGCCAGACTTAAAAAGTTCAAGTTAAAATTTTCCATCCTGGGAAGAGTATCAGCTTAAAACTCAGTAATTTTTGAGAATAATGACAGAAAAAAATTGTGAAGACTTTTTTTTCTTTTAGAAAACTTTTAATGCTCCTATGCTTTGAGAGCAGAGACTGAGATTTAGCATGGGAGAGATTTTTATGTTAGGAGCACAACCTTTGCCATTTCTATGAAAATACAAAATAGATTTTCCAACTCCTAGGCCTTTGAAAAATGTAGCTTCTGGTTGAAGTAACAACATGCAGACACCCTGAAGTGTAGTTTTCTGTCTACAAATGGGAATAATAATTGTTCTTTATTTTTAATTTCCTTTGTCTATCATCCTACATGAAACTGAGATCTTTGTGGGATGGGTTGTCTCACATTACAAAGTGCCCAGCAGGACAGGGTAGCGATACTGTGTTAATGTCATATCATAACGAATACTGCTCCTTCCTTAAACACAGCATCCTGCAATGCAATAGATTCTCTTTCCAAAATAGGAACAAAAAATTCAAAAAACCCCAGCTACTTTAGCTACGTCATTATTTTGAAATATTATCTGAATTACTGTTTTCCATAGGGAATAGCATATATTCAAGCAACCAACTTCAATCCTTTGAACCAAAATGGAAAAAAAATTCCATTATTTCTGTGATATTTGACCATACTCAGGAAGACTTTTCATTAAGCTTATTCACATAATTGATTAGATAAGTAACAAGTGCACTGGCAGATAAGCATTTTCTGTAGTTGTGCCAAGCATCTTAGGGTATTACATTAGCTCTCTTAAGGTATTAGCCAAGAGAATCAAAGATATAATAAAGCCTGAAGTAGCTGAATTTTTATTTGAAAAAAAACCCCATTGTTTCCAATTCAGCATTGTGGAGAAGCCATTAAAACATTAGGCCTTTCCTTAGCCAAACAGGCAAACATTCATAATGTAATTGAAAATGGGGAGAAACTTTCCCAAGAATGTTTCCAGCTGTGAAAGACCCAGGAAAGGACTCCTGACTTGAACCGTAGCCTCATCCACTCAAGTTTTATCATGAAGGGTGCACTCAGGGGCACTGCAAACTCTGAGACTTCTGTTAGTCAATGTGATAAATAACAACAAATTCCATCATTCTTACCCAACCCCTCAGTAATTCATATGCTGTAATTCCTAGTGACCACCAGTCTACTGGGTACGAGTATCCTGGACCTCCATCCATAAAGGCCTGGAACACTTCCGGAGCTAAAACGATAAATCAAATCAAGCAAAAAGCATTATATTAAGGTTAGACTATGGATCATTAATGTTGACAGCTGAAAAATGAATAAGGACACAATTAACTGGATTTAAATACGTTTGTTAGTGTAGCATTTTTAGAATGCAGTTTCAGTGCCTTGGTTTGCTGGCAACAAATGACCTTCACTGGTCAGGGATTTTCAGAAGTCAATAATTTTGTATGTTAATTATTACCTCGTCCATTTAAGTTTTATGTATATGTAAATAAAAACAAGTAATAGGAGGGGAATTCCTGAACTAAAGTATGATTCAGAATATTTAGGGTGGTGCAAACATTTTATGGGACAAATGTCTGCAAGCAAGGCGATTCTTTGTGATTAATGGAGGATTTGAACATAGTAAATCTCAGCCTTATTCTTGATAGGATCAATCAGGCAGAATTTAAAGGTACTCAACACAGGATTAAATGCAAATCCTGACACTGATTGTATGCTGTGAGAAACTCTGTCATGACTGGAAATAATCACACCGTCAATAAAGTAATGAATTACATAAAAATAACGTTCCTAGTGGAAAAAAAAAAGATCTTTTCAAAATAAGGATCCAGTTGGCTGATTTTAGCAAGAAAAACATTCTAAATAATGCCACTGTAGCTTCTTCAGAAAATCATACATAAATAAGAGAGGATATGAAATGAAATGAGAAGTCAATCAGGCTTTTCTAATTATTTTACAGCAGAATCTCAGTACACTTTGTGAAAGCAACACTTTCCCTGCGGATTTTTGAAACACTACCACCAACCGTAACATCGTGCTAGATTGAAATCACCATGTGAGCCATTTTGGTCCATGAGACTGAGTCTAATGTACTGCATTACCACCTGATTACCATCGCATCACTTTCTAATGGGCATACTGCAATGAATAACGTGATCTGGTCACACTTACTTCTGACTGGCAGGTTGGCATTTGACTATGTATGGCATTTAAAGTAGCACCTTTAATTAAAGGAAAGGCATTCCTTTCAGGGAAGTTTTTTCAGTCTTTGCATTATGGATGGCATCCTAACAATTTACACCTCCAGACCTGACATCAGAAACTCTTGAAGAACCAAACCTAATAGAAGATTTTGGCATCCATGGATTTGATACGGCAAAACCCTAATCCGTAAAATAAAAAACAATGAATGAACAAATGAAAGTTGTCCTATACTCTTTGCCCAGCAGGACCATCTCTAAATAAGTTTGGTAGAACTGCGGACATCTAAATAAACCTTTTTTCTGGAATACGTGTGTTTGGAGAATAGCTGACCAGTGCATTTTCGGCATAGATAAGCTTGTGCTGTGATCCAGTATGGCATAAATCAACAATGCCATAAAACACATCGCACTGAGTTAGCTCTGTCTCACCTCCAGACAATATAGGCTCACTTAGCATGCTACATCTTCAGAAGTACTTCAGATCTTGTTTTCGTGCCGATGGGAATCTGTGTAGTTACAACTTACATGTGTGCGGTCTATCACAGATAGATGCTAAGAGGGTAGGCAGGATTTTTGTGTTACTTGGGTGGATCAATGCACATAAATTGCTCATTGGGCACCAATGTCATATTTTGAATGTCACCGGAGGCACCTTGTAGTGAAGGTTTGCTTTATTTATCCACATTTGTTAAGGTTTTTGCACACCGTGCCTAGATGATATATGATATCTCATTACAGAAAATAGCCTTTTTGGCCTTTTTACTGAGCTATATAGGTATAATATTGGTTTCACTCTTTCTTTTATAGCTTTAACATTGTAATAATGTGGCGGATCACTATCTGATTTCTGTGAGGTAGAGAAGAAAGTACTTTATTGATGTAACCTACAACATTCACAGAATGGTGCAGCTGTTTTGCTAATTCAATGAGAGTTACCCACATTTATTTTATTGGCTTGTTCTAAAAGCTGCAAGGTCAACTCATCCCACATTAGGTAGATCAACAGAAAATGCTTTCTTTGGCCCACTGGCCCTAGTGATTTGAAACCCTGTTTTCTCACCATAAGCTGATGGCATCCTTAGGTTAGGCTCCTGATTTTTAAAGCAGATAGCCACTTTTCCCCTGTTTTAGCAGCACTATTTGCAGTCCAGCCAGATTGCCTCTCTGCATTCAGTCAGCTCCAGTGAAGTGGCTGTAGGCACCCACTTTGCAAGATGAGGAGGGACTGACAGAATGTGCGATATGCTTTACAGGTTTTTTGTCAGGGTGAAATCTCAACCCTACTGAAGGCAAAAGACCTTCCCCAATTTTGGTAAGGTTGTTAAATACGTATCTCACACTAACCTTGTGCTTCATGTCTCTAAAAGCCTTTTTGAACTGAGACATTAGGTGCAAATGAAAGCCTCCAGCTTGTGTGGCTGCTTTCTGGGGTTTGGCTGCTCATTCAGAAACAGAGCACAATTTTACAAAAAGAAAGCAGAAACCTCCAGGTGATGGGGTTAGTCAAGCTCTAAAGAACTAGAGCTGTGAAATACAGAACATACCATTAGGTTTTGCTGTGAGAAATAACTATGCCAGGAGAAACAATTCTGAGTGTAAACTGTCTAGGATAAAAGCAAATAAAAAAAATAAAAGGAAAGTTAAAACTTGTTATTGAAATAGACTGTCTGTAATCTTTTAAAATTTGAATTTGATCTCAGGTACAGCTTGGACAGCCATCCTGCAGTCTGCTGAGGGTAGATCCTTCCAAAGGATGGTAAGATTTGAGCTTGGCAGCTTGGAACAAGGGCAACAGCTCTGCTGTGTGCACCCTTTCTGCACACATCCTCTCTTATCATAACAGATTCCGGATGAGAAGAATGCTTACCTCTTTTACCCTTGTGCATCTACCTAAATGCAAGGATTCTGCCTGGAAAAGTTCATTCACGTGAACAAAAGTGAGAAAGTGCATGTAAGAATTGGAGTTTCAGATTTTTCCTCCAGCAAGTTCTACTGCACAAAGGCTTTTCAGGAAAATATGTGGTTTTAACACTGAGTCCGATCCTGCAGATTCTTTTGGCCAAGGGCTGTAGTTACTGTCACATACAGTCAGAGTGAAGGCAGCAGAAGTTTGCATGGTGGAAGCACAGCTCTCAAAGAGTGAAGGAAAACCTGTCACTCAAAGTACAGGGACTTCTGAAAGTTTGGTCTCAGAAGTAATGCAGTCTTTTGGTCTGGGGAATTACTCTTCACGTGTGGCAGAGGTGTGATCCACCACCTCTCATGCAAGGCTTTGGTAACTACAAAGACAGAGCATTTCAAAACTAATGTCATTCCGAGCTGGGGTATCTGTGCTATTTTTAACAGGGCAAGCAATAAAATCAGAAATATTTCTGTGGTTTGCATGATAGTGAGTAAATGCACATATTTAACTGCTGCGAATTGCCAAGCTAAAAATCCTAAGATTATTTTTTTCTTTTCTACATCTATATTTTTCTCTTAATAATATACTTTCATGCTTTCACTGTTTATCTGCTTTGCTCTTATGAAAAACGACATAACGTGAACCCACCTTTACACTGCATTGTGTGCATTGTGTGCCTCAGTGCATTCCTTCTTTGTGCCTAATACGTTTTTCCAGTTAAGGTTTTTTTTCCAACTCAAAATAAATCTTCTTCAGAGCTCTGTCTTTTGATGCTTTTGCACTATATCTTTCTAGTAATACCATATCATTGCAGACTGTTTCTGTACCAAGATGAAGATTCCAATGAAGTAAATAAAGGGTTATTTTGCTTTAAAGTAAAACCATTCTGGAGAATGGCTAAAAAGAATTGAACATGAAAGCAAGTCTGGAGAGTCTGCATCCATCTCAGAAGCAGTGGCTTCCTGTGTGGGTTTAGCCATACTTTGAGCTCCAAATAATTTTGTGAAATAGGGAGTAATTTCTGAAAATCTATTCATATATATAACTACCTACTGCAATTGTCACAAAAGTCAGATGATCTACACTGTAAATGATGTACAGGATATATCTCATGTTGAATGCATATTTCCCTAAAGATCTGTGAAAAAATGAAGTACAAAGCTGAAATTTTGCTTAACTGGTTGGTAATTCTGTAGCCTATTTGTGGAAAATTATCAGCGTCTAACAATATGATTCATGAGCTTGAAATAAAAGAGACTACCAATGTAAATGCAAACAACACTGAACCCAATTGTCACTATTTTTTCCTACTGTAAAAAAGCATTTTTCACATGTGATAAAATGCTTCGAAGTAGAGTTTCTAAAAATCTGCTGAGTATTCACAGGTATCACTTAACTCCATAGCTAAACTATAAATGCTCCAGGTTTCTGAAATTTGGAAATTCAGGCCATTTTAATTTTGTGCCCAATGGTGAGTTTGAAAAGGCTGTCCATGATAAAATAGTCTATTTGAGGTCTATCACTTAGAATGATTGGCACAAATAATAGCTGTTATTATTTTTGATGGAGCAAGCATACTGGTTCAATCATAAAGATAATTCATCAGACAATCATAAAATGAAGAGTTTGGAGGGGCTCTGATACAAATTCTAAATAACACAATATGGCATTTTTTTTCTGATGAACTGATTTAAGTTTCATTTCCTTAGCAAGAAGCTAATCAAAGAGCGCCTGGTGTACTTGCCTACCACTACCCGGGAGACTACCGAGTGTTGATTAAGAAGCTTACGGAGCTGTTACTTACTCTGAAGGATTGCCAACTTCCATAGGCTGCTTTGAAACTTCACAAAATTGGTGAGAGGCAAAGCACCGTGAGATGAATGCATTAGATTATTCTTCAAGTGGCCTTTACTACATACTAACAAATCAGTATATTTAAGAAGTAACTTGCAAGTGAGTCTTGCGAGATCGATTAGCTGTAAGGAGCTGATTGTTCATGCATAGCTAAACGCTGCCAACGAGAGCAGGTCATTAACTCCTTCGAAATGCCCTGTGTAGGGGCATGTCTGTAAGGGAAATGTCTGTAAGGGAAATCAGAGGTTTGTGGTGAATGCCAGGGGCTGC